ATATATACACACATATATATATATATATTAGATAGATAGTGCTTGTTATTATGAGCATTTCCTAACACTTTCAAATATTTGTCAAAGATATGATTGAAGAACTGAATAATGGAGTCTCTGGATTTACCCACATTTATCTAATCATCCCCTTTTGGTAAATCATTTAGACTGTTTTCTATTTTAATTAAGTGAAAAAAATCTTTATAACTCATACAACGTGTGGAGTTCTCTGGAAGTTTCTGTGGAATAAATCCTAAGAAGAGAATTACTTGGTCAATGGTTAAAAATATTAAACTACTATATTGCTACAGATTTTTTTAATGCCCTCTAGAAATTTACCAATTTATATCCAATGACATTTCATGTGTTTTGCTATAATACAACATTTTGTCTGCTAAAGCCCCTGGTATTTATCTCCTTAATGACTTTCTTAGAATAAGCAAGTGAGAATCACTTTTGGATTCTCCTCCAAGAAAAGTAACCACTTTGGTATAATGATGTATCATAACAACCGGCTCATAAAGTCCTTTGAGAAGGTGGGATGCCAGGTAAAGGTGAGTGCTTTGTTTCTTTGTCATAAAAGACTAAAAATCGTAGGAAGAGTTTAAAATTTGTAAAGAGGATAGGTTCATTAATGATTTTTATTCCCATCTCATGGTGGTTGTTAAATTCTGATACTGAAACTCTGTGTTACCAGTGAGCCATCTTGTGTTGAAAAACCTGTGCTACTTTTCATTTGTCATGGGTACTAAACCAGGAACTTCACTAAAATGCATTTCCTAGGTGGCTGTTAATAAAAGAGTTAGAATGCCAGCAACTTTGCCAGATTCATCAGTTTATTAGGTGTAAGGTAGTTCTTTTTATTATCTTAGGGAGATAATAAGGAATAATAGAAGGTAGCATAAAATTTGGTGAAGATCAAGATTTGAGTATAGGATGTTCTACTTATAAGCTATATCTTTAGATAAATCATTTAATTTCTCTGAGGCTCAATTTTCTACCTGTAATATGGAAACAACAATATTAATCTTCTACCTCAGAGTTTACAGAGTTAAAAGATTTAACTGCAGTTTTATGTACATGTAAAGTACCAACTCTATGGGAATGTAATCATTATGTTCTGTAAACATGTGCTAATAAAAATTGGAAAAAAAGAGGAAGATTTAACTAGGATAAATTATGCAAAATTATTTTATAAATCAACTTGTATAAATGTTACTAATATTTTAATGGTTTAATGATAATTTAAAGTAATAATTTCCACAAGTGCCCCCTTCATTTCTTATAGGTTAGATGCTAAAGCACAACAAATGATAGACTGCTTTATATTACACAGGAGGCTATTTATATAAGGATAGCTAATTTTTGGCCTATCTTGGGTTTTCCTTGTATATATCTTAAGACAGACAACTCATGTTTGTGTGACAGTCTATAATTACACCTTAACTTAGTTCCTTCCATTAAAGAATAAAAAAAGGATTTTAAATCCCCAAACCTCTTATATCAGCTTATCATTAATAATTACTACAAATCTAAGTCTCTGGTGGTTGTTGGGTAGCCTATATATGTGAAGAAAATGCTTACTTTAATAGTGTAAGGACTTGATGATCACATAAAATTTTTTCCAGATGAAGTTTCATTTCAGTTTCTTAAAAGAGTAGTATATAATACTGATTTTTATAACAGCCTAATTCATTATTCAAAAGCACTCTTAGGGAAATCCTAGAATGTAAAACAGATGAAAGTGAAGGTTGTATGAATGAAATAGAGATCATTATTAATCCTTAAATAATCCTAGGGATTAGTTAATCATTGGAAATATCTACTTTAGAATTTATTAGTTTCTAGTTCCATACAATACTTGAAATGTATTGAAGTAAGTTCTGAGTGTTTTTCTATATCTTGATAGCCTTTCTTTGCCCATTAACATTATGTAACTTTTCTATTATTGTTTGAAATAAAAAGAAAATGACTTTAGGCAGTCAACAGTAATGAAAGTAATTTTTTTTTTGAAATTAATATTTTTCTTCTAAGCCAACTCATGGAGAAGGTGTGGGAGTAATTGGAGTCATTGAGTGCAGTTTCCTAAAACCTACCTATAACAAACAAGATTTTGAGTACACTAAGGAGTACCGGTGAGTCATTGCCAACTTGAGGTGTTTCTGATGAATTTTTTCAGATGTAATTCTACTCTCTTGAAACCTCTACAGCCATCTCTAAAAAGTCATCTAAATGATGTAACGGAGAATTTCTTGAGATCTATTTTCCAAGATTAGAGATAAAATTACTTTATTTTTAAATTAAAGCTTACTAATATTTGATATGTAAGTCAAGTTGAGAAAAACCTCACCTTTACAAATTATAGCAAGAACATAGTCATTTGGTAAAATAAAGAGCCTTATTGATTTTAATTAATTAATTAATTAATTTTTTTGGTGCCAGTGATCAAACTCTGGTCCTTGTGCTTGTGAGGCAGGCACCGGAACCACTGAGGTAAATCCCTGGCAATTTTAATTAAAAACATGAGTGGATCTGAAAATACTAAATATGTTGGGGAACATTTTTTGAAGTATGTTCCAAAAATTTTTGTTGAATCCAGTGAATAGACTTAGAAGTATTGGAAACAGTAAGAAAGACGTGTGCATTCATAGGAGCATTTTGATTAGAGAAGACAGATTAAGGATCAGAAAGGAACTTGCCATTACATCTGAACCAGTAGAGATATTTTTATGAGATGAAGAAAGGAATTATGAAAGCTAAGTTAGAAGAGATTTTTTAAAAAAAACTCTGAGAAGGAAGGATCATTCATTCCTTCTTTCATCAAGTATTATGGATACTTCCTATTTGTGAGGTATGAAGTACATAAGGATGAAAGTAAGAATCCTTGATGCCTATGAGCAAGTGTGATAAGATATATGCCAATAAGAAATATATATACTACGAAATAATTCTGTTAATGAAGCACATATGCAAAACGGGGAGAACTTTTAAATATACCTAAAGGAATCAAGGGATTCCTAATCAGATTATATTTGAGTTTAAACTTGAAGGAAAAGTTTAAGTTTTCTAACTGGATAAATAGGAGAAAGACAGTCTAAGTGGAGGGAAATATATATAAGGCCAGAAAAAGTCACAGGGTGTCCTGGAAGTGTGAAAAAGTCACGAGGATAGTTGGTATCATTTCTTTGATGTCACAATAGAAAACATTTTCTTAGAGTAGAAGAAAAATAATTTCTCCAATCTCTTTTTTGTGTGAACAAAACTATAATAAAGCCTGTTAATTAAATGTTGTACATTGATTTATCCGGAACCATGAAAACTCTAGTTTAATGTTTAACAAAGAGGTAACTATTTGAATGGCAACCCCAAATTTATTTCAGTGTAATTGGGTTTTGGTCATTCAGGCTATTCAATGGTTATGGCACCTAGGTGCCCTCAGTCTAAATAAATTGGTCATTTAAATATGAGTCTAACCTATAATGGAGATCTTTGACCTGGACTTGACTCTTAAGAGTACAGGTGTATAAATAACATGGATTTAACAGAAGTCTCAAAGCTGAGTTGTTCTCTTTCTCTTGACTAAAAGGAGCAGTGAACTTTTGGTGGTTACCTAAATAATTAAGACTTATAAAATCTAAATGTTACATACTAACATTTAAACATATTTTTTATACATATTTAACATTTCTATATAATCTTTGCCACCCTATCACCTCACATCTACATTTCAAATTCTGGACACATTAGACTCTTGGTTTTTGATGGCTAGTTTTGGTATGAGGAGTTTGAGGTCATTGCCAAGTATCTAAAAAGATACTCTAAATACTGTATTCAGTTAAACATATAGGATTTCTATCTTAAGCTTGCTATATGATACACAATTTATTAAAAATATAAAGAACTAAATAGTACCCTACAGGCAGTCTTTTGGGGATAATAAATTTTCATAATTCTTGTCCAATTCTGATATTGCCCCACCCCTTTTGATGCTGGGGATTGAACCCAGGACTATGTATATGTTAAAGATGTACTCTACCACCAACGTATACCCTCAGCCCTATTGCTGTTTTATACTCAATTTATTTTACATAAAATGAAATTATTTAGATAAAAATACAGGAATTTGAGAAGGTGTTTAGAGAAGGTTGTCAGCTATGAGAAACAGATCCTATGAATATTATGAATATCAAAACTCTAAATAATAAAAGGAATGCCAGCCATTATAATGCTTGAATATCTATAAATAAATCATCTGCATGATCATTTTTAACATTTATGGATATCAGATTCCACCTGCAACAAAACATTTCACGTGAACTTCATCTTAAGAAATGCATATTAGTTGAGCTCTCCACTGGTACATAACACAGTGGCTAGGCCTTGTGGGATTTTTCAAAGAAATTCAAGACATAGTTGCTTTCTTTCTGATCTCTTTTTTTTGTCACATCTATGAAACAAATTAGACAGAAATAAATGATTCTTTGATCATTTAAAATTTAACTGGTACAGTATAGAATAGGGTAGTTTTTAGGTAAAAGTATGACTTTATATATACCATAAATGATAGAAGACATTTAGAGAAAAGAAAGAAAGGATTTCCAGGACAGAGTTGTAACTTGACCTAAGGTAGCAATAAGAACTCATAATGGTAACATTATGGGAGTGAGGACAAAGGAATGTAACTGGAGTGAAGGGAAATCAAGTTAGATGGGTAGAGTTGGGCCAAATCCTAGAGCAGGAACTAGCAAACATTTTCTAAGAAGGAACAGAAGGTAAATATTTTGAGCTTTGAAGCTATGTGGTCTCTTTCACAACCAATTCTGCCATAGCATGAAAGTAGATATTCACAATATGATAGTAAGTAAAGAAATGGGTATGGTTGTTTTGTTCAATACAATTGTGCTCACAAAAACAGGCAATGGGTGGGATTTGCTGCCAGGCTGTAATAATTTTCTGACCCTTGTCCTAGAACCACAATTCCTAAACTATGTGCCAAGTTGCACATAATAAATTCACAGAGAAGCCATGAGATATTTCCCATTTTTATGGGAAGTAGATTCAACTCCAGTCTACGAACAACAGAAAGGGTCTTCTATTGCCACAAATTACCACAAATGTAGTGGCTTAAAATAACACTAACTGTTTTAGAATTCTGTGGTTTGGAAGTCTGCTACAAAATTCACTGGGTAAAATCAAGATGTTGGCAAGCTGCATTCCTTTCTGGAGGTTAGGGGAGATGAAATTTGCTTTTCTAGTTTCTAGAGGCTGCCAGTATTGCTTGGCCCAAAGCCTTCTTTTTCTAATTTCGATGTCAGCAATAATGGGTAGAGTTCTCACATGTGTCATTCTGATGACCTTGACTCTTGTCATCACAGCTCCTCTAATCCTGCCTCACTCTTCCTCTTTCAAAGACCCCTGTGATCTCATTGGATAATTTAGGATAATCTTCCTATTTTAAGGTCGGATGATGAGTAACTTTAATTCCATCTGCAATCTTAATTCCCCCTTGCTACATGACTCAACACAGTCACAAGGCTCAGGGATTAGGTCATAACATCTTTGGAGGACTGTTATTTTGTTTACTATAATCTGCCCTCTGGTCTCCTAAGATTTACTTTTCATATGTGAAATGTGCACCTCATCTCAAATTTCCAAAAGTCTCACCCTATTAGTGTTGAGAGTAGAAAATTTCAGCTAAATATCATCAGCTCAGAAATTCCAAATCTCATTATCTAAATCACATATGGGTAATACTGTGAGTATGATGGTCTTGGAGCAAAATTCCTCTCCATCTCTGGATGTCTCCCTTCTGCCCTCTGTCCCTCCCTCTTTCCCTCCTTTCTCCTCTCTCTACATTTTACACCTAAAATACAGTAGTGGGACATAGTCTAGGTCAAGTGGGGTGAAAATGGAAGAAAAAAAAAGAAATCACCAAGCAATGTGAAACATCCAGCACAGCAAATTCAATTCCATTTCCAAAACTGGGAATTTCAACTCAGGCTTGCAGCTCTGCCCTCTTAGCTTACAGTTTCACTCTCAAAAGCATTTTCCCTTGTTCATGAAGTTCATGTGTTTGCAGCTGAGTAGTTTCATCAGTCAGTTTTCTGACTGTGTTGTGAAGGTCCAACTAGAGAATTGTGAAGACCCAATTGTGAAGGTTCATTTTGTACTCTTCCCATACCTTTCAGTCCAATCTAGAAGAGGTTTTGTATTTATACAATTCTCAAGAACTTTGTGGGTCTTCCTGAGTGTTACAGATATTCACACTCTCCAATAAGAGACTCTTGACACATATTTCCTAGATGATATCTATTCTTGGCTTCAGCTGAGATAACCGGAGATCTGAGTCATGTGCTTAATTATTTCAAAAAGCCTTTTGTGTTAATGGCTACTCTCACCTTTTGATCTTAGTGAGATATTACCAAAAGGTTGTTCAACTTCATCTGCATCTTTTTCTGTAGATCATTCTTTCTTGACAGTCAGTGTCTAAATTTGTCTTAGTTACTTTTTCTGTGGCTGAGACAATACCCAACACCAAAAGTTAAAGGAGGAGAGATTCATTTTGGCTCAGGTTTGTACAGCTTTCAGTCCATAGTGGGCTGGCTCCAAGGCAGAGCCGCATGGTAGAGGGACATCGCAGAAGAGAAACAGACTATGGTAGACCAGGCAGGAGGATCAGGCAGCAAGCAGCAAGCCATGCTTTTTCTTTGATACCATCCAGGCTATAAGCCTTTTGGGTGATGATACTTAGAGTGGGCCTTCCAGTTATCCACACCCAGAATTATGCTATATCATTTTAGTTAGCACACACCTTTAATCTTAGTATCACACCCTTAATCTACATTCACATATCTTTGATCCACCACCATCAAAAAGCCCACCTATAAGTCCATGAAGCTTTGCGGAGGACATCTAGATACAAGCCATAACAAAATTATAGCATCTTGGAATTTGGATGGGCTGGGAATTTTCCAAATCATCAAATCTTGTTCATTTTTGCTTAGCAGTTCTTCCCTCGATTTATTTCTTAACTTTTGCATTTTACATGAAAAGACAGAGAACCCCAGCCCTTCAATACTTTGCTTGGAGATCTCCTAATTTAAATACTCAATTTAATCATTTACACGTTGTGCTG